GAGGGCTACTGCCACAGCTCAGTGGCAGGCTTGGCATGCTGAGCGTGTTTCCAGGTGGATCTAACCTAAAGTCTATGGATCACATGTGCCCCGGGATAGCTATGGTGCAACCAAATACAAAATCATGAACACTTAAAACAGTATGAGGTTTTGTTGTTGTTGTTGTTTTGCAAGTTTTTTCTTTGCAACTTACCTATGCTGTTCTCACATGTGAACTTTCTAGGTGACAATGTGTCATAACAATATCAAAAGACTGCACATTCCTCCAGGCCTTAAACGTAATCCCTCGCACGGAAGGAAAATAAAATTCATCGCAATAAGATATATAGTGGCTGGAGGTGACAGTGAGTCAAACATGGTTCCCGGGCTAGAGACACATATCAGTGAGTAAAGTGATGGCCAAACGAGCATAAGGAGCTGAGTCCAGACCCCCAAGAACCCACATAAAGAACAGATGTGCTAGTGAAGTCTGAAACTTCAGCGCTCCTGAGTGACTTGGCCCTGTGCTTTCAGCCAGAGTAAAGAATGCAGACACTAAACAAAGGTAAGACACCAGTCTTTCATCCTACTTTTAGAGCAGGTGTTCTCAACCTGTGGAACTCGACCCCCTTGGGGTCATATACCAGATATTTGCATTACGATTCATAACCGTAGCAAAATTACAGTTATGACTTAGCAACGAAAAAATGTTCTGGTTGGGGTCACCACAACATGAGCAACTGCTAAAGGGTCTCGGTGTTAGGAAGGGTGAGAACCAGTGGTCTAAAGCTTTGTAGAACCAAGTGAGAAGTCTGCTTTCTAGCAAAGGCAGCTCCTAGTCCCTCCCCATTGCAGTAGAGGTCTGCCTGTCCAGCACCACCTGTGCTCTAAAGTTCCACCGTCATCACCAACCTTCTTCACCGCCTAGTCCACCCTTACACTGCACGATGCATGTCACCTGGGAAGGAAATTTCCACCCAGAGGCTAACAGCACCTACTGACATCTACTTTTTGTTTGTTTGTCTCTCCCTTCCCCTCTTTCACTGTTACTCTGTAACACAGACTGGCCTCAAACTCATAACCATCCCTCTTCTTTCTCCTAAGTGTTAGGATTATAGCAATTAGCCAATATTGGCTTTCATTTTCCTTTACCAATTTCTGTTTCTTAATTTCTCTGGCATCTAAGGCAGTGTTACTGTCCTACTGTGCAGTAATAGGGAGGCAGATGGTGCCAGGCCCACATAAATCTTTCACTTGTGACCCTCATCTCTGCCCTGGCAAGGCAGCCTAAAAGGTGTTACATATTTGTTATGTGTATGTATGTCAGAAACATGGACAGATATGTTTGTGTCTTTCTATAATGTCAGAATATATTGAGTACATCAATTTTGCCAGCTACGGTTTCCAAAGTAGTTTCCAGCTGCTGGTTGGAGACCAGTTCTTTTATTTTAACCTCAGTTATTAGCATTGACTCTCAGGTCAGGTCACACAATACATACACGTATGTGTGTGTATACATGTATACGTGGTTAAACAATGCCTAAGAAAGGGTAAAGAGGCCACAGAATTCAGAGGCAGAAAGCATACACAGGCACAAGGAAGAGTATGGGAGATTGGGCAAGAAGTCCAACTTCAGACATCCAGCTGTTCAGACACAGAGCTGTTTAGGTCAAATGCTAGTCCAAGTCACAGGACATTTCCAGGGTCAGTTTGATGTGAGCTGAATGTCACCTGCAGGAGACTCTGTTGAAGCTTGAGACTGGGACAGAGTCAAAAGGAGTCCTAGCACTTATCCTAGATGAGGATTATGGCAGTTAACTGGGTGGCAGTTAGCATATCTGTCACATTCTGGTCTTGGGGTGCTCCTTCTTTTATAGAGTCAGGTAAGGGGGTTGATTGTATGTTACATGATCACTAAGTTCATGTTCGGGGCACTTCTGATTGCCATTTGATATATTTAGGCTTGGTCTGTGTCTCCTGGTATGATGGCAGATAATTATAAGTGAGAGAGTAGACTCATTCTTTTTTGGCACTTACACTCAAAACAGAATAACTCAGGTCATGGTTGTTGCTTTATAAAATGGATTAATTCATTTTGGTGGCTTGAATGGGAATGGCCCCAATTGGCTCATATATTTTAATTTGGTTCAAAGTTGATGAAACTATTTGGGAAGGATGAGGAGGTGTGTCACAGGGTGGGCTTTGATGTTTCAAAAGCCCACACCATTCCCAGTTGGCTCTTCCTCTCTCTCTGCCTCGTGGTTGTCCCAAGATGTAGGCTCCTAGCTACTTCTCTGGTGCCCTGCCTCCCATGCTCCCCACCATAATGGTCAGGGACACCAACACTCTGGAAACATGAGCCCTCAAATTAAATGCTTTCTTTTATAAGTTACCTTGGTCATTCATGCATTTTGTCACTGTGATAGAAAAGTAACTGAGGTGGCTAGGTGATATTCCACATCGCAGAGTAAGTCAGAGCAGGCCCAGCCTGTTCTCCTCAATATTGGTACTGCAATATGGAAGGTACCTGGGTCACTCCTGGAGGAGAGCCAGTCAACACTCAGGGGGCTTTGTACTAACTTGTTGAAATTGAGGTTGTTAGTGATAGTCCTGAGCATAATATAAATCCACACCCTGCACCAGCTAGTACTCCATTTCTGTTTTCTTCAACACTCTTCCAAAAGTTTATACCTACCACATCCATCAGTCTCTCCTCAACCTGCTTCAACCCAGCTTTATGATCACCGTTTTTATAGCTCAGTTTTCAAGTCATAACTGACCTCCATTTCAAAAAATTATTTGATTGAGGCAGGGTCTCCTAATATAAGCTAGGCTAGCCTTGAACTTCAGACCCTTTGGCATCAGCTGGCCTAGTCCTGGGATTACTGGAAAGTGCTATTCCACCCAGTTTAATTACTCTATTTTGCCAAAATCAAGTTCATTAAAAAAAATCCTCAGCTGCTTCAATTTTCCAAGCTAGCCCTGACGTCAAATATCTGACCTCCTTTTACTATTTCTGCACAAACACTAGTACAGTCAAGGTCTCAATTCCATTACTACAACAGTCTAACTGCTCTGCCTTCACCCCAGGTAGCACACACTAATAGCTTAACATATCAGCCAGGGCAAAATCTGCAAATGTAAGTATATATCAATTGTATGGTTAAGATTTTCCAATAGCAATCATTGACTCAGCTCAAGTATCACTTCCATAGAGTATCCCCTTTAGAGAACCCAGGCAATTTCTATTACTCCAGCCACCTTATTTTCTTTATAGAAATAAAGTAACAAGAATATTTATGTGTTTTCTTTTTGAGACAGGCTCTCCTATAGCCTAGGCTGGCTTTGTAAATTCATTATACAGTGAAGTATGACCATGAACCCCTGCTACTCCTACCTCTGCCTCCTGTGTGCTGGGATTACAGACATGTAACACCCAGTGCTAAAAGTACCACAGGCTGTTCTCTATAAACCCCAATAACTAGCAGCCTTATCCATAGTAGAGTAACAACAGCTCCTGCCCAGCACAAGGTCTAAAAACTTGGTGAGAATTTAAATCTCTCTTGGCTTCAAGATGTAGCTTCCTATTTACTTTTTCTTTAGGTAAAAACAATTAAGCAAGTATAAAATATATTGCATGGATGTGGCTACAATAAAGGCTGAAGTGTCTGAGTGTGTGTGTGTGTGTGTGTGTGTGTGTGTGTGTGTGTGTGTGTGTGTGTTCCAGAGTGCTGGACGTAATTCACCCTACTAATTGCTTTGTTGTTGTTGTTGTTTTTTCTTTGTGGTTTGCCTATGATTGTGTTTAATGAAAGAAAAAACTGCTATTTCTACCTTTTGTGAAGTCACTTTTGAATTGACAGATTTTAATTATTTCCTTAGGAGTGTCCTTCACTTTGGGTACTTGTATGACAGGATGGTTTCTTTCTCTTTTTTTTTTAAATGACAGGATGACATATATTTTAATTATCTAGTTGACTTTTTTTGGCGTCCTGCCAACTGCATGCATTCGGGCACACGTGGAGGTCAGAGGACAACTTTTGTAAGTTGGGTCCTCTTCCTTCCATGGATTGAACTCGGGTTGTCAGGCTTGGTGGCAAGCGCAGTTACTCCCTAAGCCATTTTGTCAGCATTCAGGATGCCATTTTTTTTTTTTTTTAATTTCCCTTTCATACTTGTTTTAGTCAGTAAGTGACTGGAGAGCGCAAGAGGTGGAGCCAGATAACCCTGGGTTATTTTTGTTGTTGAGACAATCCACCTGCCTCAGCCCCTCGAGTGCTGGGAGTGCTTTAAACTGGGCTGGGTAATCTTAAATCGTGCGCTCTTAAGTACCTACCTACGAGCTACTTCTCCAAACCTCAGTCAACTCGTGTATACAATGAAGATGATTTACCAAGAGACCGGGTACCTAAGAGGCAAACCAGACCTGTCTACGAGTACAAGTTCGGGCCCGGCCTTAGCTGGTGGGTATCTCGGTCAAATCTCTGGACGTCCTGT